CCTCGAGGGAAGGGAAGGTGCTCAGACTCGGGGTCCACGCCACCCTCCTCCCCAGAGTGTCTCCGGTTCCCAGGTCTATGCGGAGAAGAGGGGAGCTTCCTTTGTATGTTCTCTGCCTGCCTGGGGAAGGCGTCGTTGCTGCTCCAAGGGGCAACAGACTGGGGGAGGGGGAGGAGGGTGCCAACTCTGCCGCTGCCTGGAGCTCAGCTCCTCCGACCCAGCTTCCCCACTCGGCCATGCGGCCTTGCGGAGGATTGGGGAGGAATATGGTATTTGTAGGGCAACGCTTTGAACAATAGATCCATAAAAAGGCCTTCTCCTTATAAGTCAGGGACCACTCTTCCCTCCTTCAAAAAGGCCCTGGTCCAACAGGTTCTCCCTCGAGGCCAGGTTTGAGGCCTGATTTGAAGCCTGCTTCCCCAGCAAAAAACACTTCATTTGTACCAGGGTTCTCCATGAATCCTGATTTAAATTAAGATCTTCTCCTTGGGCTCTTACTAATGTTAACACCCTATTTTCATAATTTTCCAGATACTATTCTTCCATGAAAATGATCCAGACTAGCTATAGGAACCAGTCAAGGTGTTTTGCCACAAGATCTAGGACAAGAGGACTTAACCAATATCTCCCGTCTTGCAGATCTCCTGGGGACCCTTCACCTACTTCTGCTACTGCAAACAATTGGACATCCATTTACCTTGACTCTTTTTTCAAGTGTGGAAACCTTTTGTTCACTGTGCATCAGGCTGGACCTGGCCTGAAAGTAAGTCTCTGGATTGTCTCTGACCTTTCCAATTTGCCAGTGTGAGTATGAGACCTGACGAAGTGTTTAGATGTAGGCTTTAAGCCAAGTATATAAATCCACTTGGCACCAACTTGGGTCCCAAAGATAAGGGCATTTGTAGCTGGAGTGGAAGACAAGGGAACAATGAGAACTAAGGTTTCATTCTCTGTGATGAGCCTCTCCACCACCAACTAGCACCACCAGTGCAGTAAGTACAGAGGACTCATCTATCCAATCTTTTTTTTTCTCATCCAGGCCTTCTGCAAGAGAGATCTAAATGAGTCAGTCCTCAGAGATGGTGAGGGTGTGGCTGGTGACTCAGTCTTGGCTTCCTGTGCCCAAGGTGTATAGGGATAGATCTCTGGGAAGTGTTAGTGCCATGAAGTGAGCAGGCTACAGACCTGTGGGAACTAGAGCTTTCTGCCCCTCTTCATTTTTATTTAATATTCACAAACTTCTGTTCATCCTATTCTTTTCTTACAGTTTCTGATAGAAGGACCAAAGGAATGCCAAGAACTCCCTGATGAAGAGGACCTCTCTAGATTTGTAACTGGGACGACTAACCAAGTCTTAACTTCAGGAGGAAGTTTCAGCTAATTCTCAGGATAAGTCAAAACAGGCCTGGGACTGCCCTTTGAATACTGAAGGTGTCAACAAGCTTCTGGCTTCCCCAGGTCAAGTAGAAGTTGGGTTCCTTCTTTGTTATTCAAACACACACCCACACACACACAGCCACTTCACCCTCCCTAATGAAAAACCTCAACAGATGGAGAGCCTAGGCTCCCCAGCCTGCTGGCTGGGAAGATGCACTTCACTCAAGGGTCAGTCAGCTGGTACAGGGAGAAGGGAGTCGCTGGTATAGGTAATCACTATATTTTAAAACTCTCTTCAGCAAGGTTAGCAGCCTCTGGGGCCTGGGAAACCAATGTGGCTAATGTGTCTCTGATAGGGACTGGGCTTGGGGCTGTACCAAGGGGAAAGTCCTCTACGTTCTCCCCCTCTCATTTGAAAGCCTGTACAAAGAAATGGTACAAACGGGTGGTTAGCAATGATTCCATCAGAGGCGGATTTTTCTCTGTCAGGTCCCTGGATGAAGTTGAGGTCTGAAAGCCAGAAGGTGGAGTATGTACTTAATCACCCTTTCTTACTGCCTTTCCAGGGGCCAGGACTACCCTTCAGGCCTTTCCTCTTGCAACTTCCCCACCCCTCTGGCTAGCTCAGTTGGATCTCCTCCCCATCACTCCCGGCTGGGGCCTGCGTCTCTCCTGGTAGCCAGGGCAACCTCTGCCCGGAGCTCTTTCCCTCCGGCCACCTCCCATTTTGTAGTGGGCTGTCCCTGCTGCCTCACCTCTACCTTGCTTTATTTTCACGCTTGATTGAAAGGAACCACTGCCACTCCCATCCGTGGGCGGGGGCTTGAGGCCCTCACCCTTTTCTTCAGGCCTCGGGAAGATGCCCCCACAGCCTCCCAGATCACCTCCCCCAAAGCGGTCTCTGCAGGAAAAAAGCCGAGCTGGTCTAGGCCTGAGTCGTAGAGGCATTTCCTCCCTGTGGGCAAACGAAGTGAACCTCCTAGAGACCAAGGCCCGGAGCTAGGCTCGGCCCTTCCCCACCTCCAGTGGTCGGCCGGTGCTGCCTTTGTGTGGCCTTCCCCGCCTCCGCGGAGCCCGTGGGGAAGCTGCGCACACAATGGTGCCGCCGCTCCGGAAGGCGGGCGGCTCTGGGCGTCCTCAGCCCCGCGCCCGGCGGCGAGGGCCAGCAGCCTCGAGGCCTTGGTGCGTCCCCTATTGTCCCCTGCGCGCCCGCCACGGGATAGGGCGGCGGTTTGCTTTCCGGCCAGCTCGCCCCTTCCCGCGGCAGGCCCTCCCCAGGAGCCGCAGCCCGAACCCCGAGCGCCGGAGCCGGCCGCTCCCCTCCCCCACTCTCCTTTCTCTGCTGCTGGCGGGGGGAGGGGGGCACCGTTCTCCGATAGAGCAGCTATTGTGACCTTCCCCGGAGAGTGGGAACCCAGCCGAGTGTGCACCGCCGGCGGTGGCGGGGGAGGAGGCGACTGCGTGTGCAAACCTCGGGGACGGAGGGGAAATAAATAAAACTTTGCAACCTCGGGCAGTTGGGCCCTTCAGAGGGCGTTTGGTTGTGTTTAGACTCGGGTGCTTCCTAACACTAATTGCAGGCTCAAAGGGAGCAGAATTTATGGCGAAGGCCAAGGCAGCTTGTTTATAATTTATGAAGTTTTAAATGGCTGTGTCGCAGGGCCCACTCTCGCCCTGGCCTGTGGCCGCGCGGAAAGCGCCCTCCCCAGACTCCCCACCCACGCGACTTAGTGTGGCCCGTCCGAGCCATTCTCAGAAGCTTCGGGGAAGCTTTCTCCAAGAATGAGAGGGAGCCGCAGATTTGTCCCAAGAGAACTCCTCCACCCCACAGGAGAAGGTGCCTCTGGGCGGCTGCGGCTGCCTGGAGAGGGAGCCCCTAACCCCGCACTTCTTCGGAGTCTTAGTGTGAGAGGAAGCTGATGTCAGCCCGGCTAGACACCGTTTAAAGTCTAATCCATGAAACCCTAAGCCGCAGATGACACTTGGGGCCTTGCAGACACCCGCAGACTCAGCAGATACTCCTGCGGTAACAGACCGCACTGGAAAACGCCTGGAGCCATGATGCATTATGTATTTTTATTACTTATGGTAGGAAGAAAAGAGGAGGGAAAACCGGGCTGAATCTAAACAGCCTGACAATTCATCTATTTACTATTTAGCCAGTTAAGAAAGATTGTTATCCCTGCAAAGCAGCAAGCTCTTCTTGGATTTCCCTAATAATTTTAAAAATAATTTCTTACAAGACAATTAGAAATCCTGCCTATGGACGCAAATTTCATAGAAAACAATTTTAAGCCTTGAAAGTGGGTAAACTATCCCTTCGGTTGAAGTCATTTATTCTTGCTGATAACTTCTACAACATGTATATTTTAAACCTGCTCAGAAAAGGTGAAATTTAGCAAAAGGATAATCCCCTCCCGCCCCCAATCTAACCTGCCATTTTTTTTAAACGGCACAAAAGAACAAGGAAACTAAATGTTTTTTTAAGCCATCATTATTTAGCGAAACACAAACATCCAAATGGAAACGGTTGTTGTTCCACCAGAAGATTAGAAGTTAAATTATTTCCACACAATAGGAATTTCACCTCGTGTCACCAGGGATGTAGTAGGAGTTGCATTATTTGTCAAACCAAATAGAGATGTGTGGGCCGACTTTGCTGAAATACAAAGAATTGAACCTTATCTGAAGGCGTTTTCCAAGTGCCTCCTCCCAGAGAAGTGGGTGGAAGTTGTCCACCCCTAGCTAAAGCCACGCTATTATTTACAAAATGGTTATAAATCCTCGGAGACATTTTTTGCCCATTTCGTACAAAGGAACAGGAGAAAACAAGGTGTTTATACTTTTGTTCCGTTAATGAAACTTTTATTACTTTACATCATGGGGAATGCGTGTTTCCTTTAGAAATGAACCGCCAACCACTTTAAAGGAAAAAGTCCTGACAGCACTTCCTAGAGACAAGGCTTAGGTGCCGGTCTCCAAATGATCGTTTCTCTTCCTGCACCTTAGCCTTTTCGCAGCTCAGTTCTTCTTACGACTTCTCATGTATCTTTTCTTTTGATTGTCAGTTTTCTTTCAAAGTTCTTTTTTATTACTTAACACAGAAAAGTGAGCTCTGGCCTCCCCAATGTAAATGCAATCTAAAAAAAAGTGGATTTGTGTCTAGAAAGACGGGTAGAAACAGCAAAGCAGGCACAGTACAAAGCTCTACCCAAATCACCCGCCTGGAACATTTCTAGGTTTGCATCCTCAGATTCTTCCCCCTCATGTCAGTAGCTGGGATGTAGTCAAGTATCCCAGAACCAATGTGTGCACTAGATCCCAAATACATGAACAAAACGTATTTCGAAGGTTCCGCCTATTTGGGGGTCTTCCATTGAGATTGTGGGGAAAATAAAGGCAGTGATCTACTTGCAAGGGAGTGTGATTAACACAGATACTCTTCCAACTGAGAAATTCTTTATTCTAAATATTTGTTCAAATAGTACCAGACAATTTGAAATCAATAAACTGTGTCGAGTTGGAGGGCTGTGGCTGTTTGAGAAATGAGTAACGGGTGTCGTCTGACTCTACCCATGAAGGACAATTTGCGGTCTTAATCCTTTACATTAACTACAAACACCAGCCACGGTTACAACTGTTCAAAACTACTCTCTCAGCTAGTTCAGACCAAAGGGACTAAAGAGATGAAATGTGGCCCCCGAGGCCTGGGAGCGCGTTCCTAAGCTGGCTGGAGAATTCTACAAGTATACACATAAATACATTAAGACGAGGATAAATAATCAGAGAAACGAAATGACTCGCTTCAAATAATAAATACAGATTGTTGAGTCCGATTCAATCCTTACAGGACGGGAAGGAGCATATAAATTAAGGTCTCCGCAACTCGGCTAGCCACGGGCCAGGCCCAGAGCTCTCCAGGCTCTGGTCCTTCTGCCGAGCGCGCTGCCGGCGAATCTCAGACTTACCTTCGGGACATCATTACCAGACTAGAGCCCCTGGGTCCGCAGTATTTGGCACTGTCAGGCTTACAGAGGAGAATCCTTGCGGTTGATTTATGGCGAGTCACCCAAAGGAGGACGCGCCTGGAAGGGAGGCCCAGTCGCCTGCACTTCGGGCCGCTGTTGGCCCGAAACCGGGGAGGCAGCGACCAGGACAGGGCGAGGGAGGGTCACCAGCTGCCCCGCAGGGCCCGCCCGCCACCCCCGCCACCAAAGCCAAAGAGGTAATTGCGCCAGGAGTTCGGGCCGTGGGCGGCCGCTACAGATGCGTCAGTTTGGGGGCCTCGGGCAGGCGTCCCTGAGAGGAGTGGTGGGCCGAGAGATCTGTGTAGGTGGGATGAGGGTCGCACGGTCCGTGGTGGTGGTTGCCGGGAATCTGCGCGGCGCAACTGTAGTCCACGCTGGCCGAAGACGGATGCGAGAGGTGGCCCAGGTTGAAGACCGGCCCGGACGCGGGTGCCATGGAGTCGACGAAGTTACCGCCCACGTACACGGGGCTTCCCTGCAGGTTGGCGCTGGCGAAGCCGCCGCCGTTGCTGGCCATGGGGTGGGGCTCGAACTCCGGCGCCGGGTACCGCTTCTGCTGCGGGAGGCAGCTGCTGAGCGGCGCCGTGTAGGCGGCCAGGCCGTACATGTTGGGCTGAGATTTCGCGAAAGCGGGAGGCGAGGGCGCGTCGTAGGCCAGGCCGGGCACCGGCGGCAGCTGGCCCGAGTAGGCCACGTGGCCCGCCGAGCCCCCGAGCGGCGGGCTGCGCTCCGGGGACTGGCCCGCTGGCGAGTGCAGGATGCCCTTGGCCTTCTGGTCCTTCTTGTACTTCATGCGCCGGTTCTGGAACCAGATCTTGATTTGGCGCTCGGTGAGGTTCAGCAGGTTGGCCATCTCCACGCGGCGTGGCCGGCACAAGTAGCGGTTGAAGTGGAATTCCTTCTCCAACTCCACCAGCTGCGCACTCGTGTACGCGGTGCGCACCCGCTTGGACGCTGGGCCCGGCGGGCTCTTGTCCTCGCAGCTCTCTCCTGGGCAGGGAGGGAGAGAGGGGTGACGCTGAGAGGGAGAGGTGGGGGCACCCAGGGCTGCAAAGAAGTGCTTCCCTGGTTCCCTCCTCTTCCCCCCACTTTAATCCTGGCTGGATTGGGGAGGGGCGTTTGAGAGGTGAGATTCTAAGGAGGAACTCACTGCCCCTGGCCTACCAATCAGTCGCACCTGAAACACCCATCTGCCGTCTGAGGTTTGATTCCCTCTGCCCAACCCCTCCCTGCCAGCCTAGTCCATCATCCGGTCCCAAAGGCCTTGGAGGAGTTTAATGGGAGACTAGTAGCAGCTGGTAAGGCCTCCCCTCTGCCAAAGAGGGGCCAGACTTCTTTGAACACTACCCTCTGCTAAGAGCTGTGGGGGAGGGAACAGCCCCAGCCTGCCTTGCTCAGGGACTGGCTCTTGGGCAAAGCACCCAGGAAGCATGGACTGAGGGTGGAGATCTTAGCACCTCACTCCAGCCCAGCCGCACCCAAATGCAGGGAGGTGATAAACCATAAAAATACTGCCCCAGGTTTTAGGGGACCCAACACCAGGCTGGGAGCATTTTTAGTATCGCAGTGCTAGGACCAGCAGCCTCAACACTGTTTTCCACCACCCTTGCCACCTCTCAGCAGCTTGTCCACTCCCTCACTGGGAAGACAAATGGATTTCTCCTGGGAGGGAGGGCCTTCTCAGGCAGCTGGGAAGGAGGGGCGGGAGAAGGAGCTTAGGGCTGGAAGATACTTTTCCCTCAGGAGCAGCAATCCCAGAGAGCAGCAGGCAAACCAGAGACCTGGTGTGCTAACAAGCTAGCTGCATTCCGGGCTTCACACTGGCCCTGAATGGATAAGCAAGTTCATCTACCCTGAAGATAAGACACATCAGAGAACACAAGGCCAAACAATTTCAGGAACCAAACCAGCTGAGAAGAGAGAGGAAGCAGGCCTCAGAGCTCCTGTCCCTGCCCATCTTCTTCCCAACACCCTGATGGGCCTGCAGAAGAGCTTCTCTACTTGAGGGTCTCCCTTTCCAGGGAGAGGAACACAACCGGAGGCTACTCCTGTTTCAGAGCATATCCTCTTGGGGTGGGGGTTGGGGGGTCTGGCCTGTGGGCCTAGCTGTATAAGGCCCACGAAATCGAAATCATTTGGTCTGGCCCTGCCAAGGCATGTGGGGTGAGTTAATTAAATGTTTGACCAAATATAGCAGGCTAATTTTTAAGTTGATAATTTTGTATGGCTTGAGAATGATGTTATAAATATACAAATGGTGCTTAGCAGAAAAAGGGTTCCCCACCCCTGCCCTAGGATATGCTCCTCCCTATATTATAGATTTGCTGGGATGGGGAGAATTGGACAGAGGTGGGCCAAATAGATCCCTTGGTTATGCCTTGGAGGCCCTGGTTATATTCAAGTGCACCACTTTGTTATTTTATGGTCTTGGGCAAGTCACTTATCATCTCTAATAGTTTCCTTACCTATAAAATGGGAATATTATCATATACCTGCCTCAGAGGGTTCTTTGAAAAATTAAATAAGATAATGCTTGTAAAGCACTTAGCATGTTCTTAAACATAGCACTCCACAGACTTTAGTTCTTATTAATTTAAGAGACTGGGATTCATGTGATAGGGACTACATAACATCCTTAACCAAGTTTTGAAGGATGGAAAAAAGGAGCTGAATTATGACCAGCAGCCTAGGAAAGCAGATATTAGGTCAATAGAAAGAGTGTCTATTAATAACTATGAGACTTGCCCAACCATGCCACCAACAGCCTGGAATGGAAGGGAGCCCCTGTCACTGTAAGGGTATAACCCCCAATCAGGGACACTATAAAGAAGGGACATTTCTGTGTCAGTAGGAGGTTAGCCATATGGCCTCCAAGGTTGCACCTCCAGCCCTGAGTCTCTTGGTTCCTAGGAGAGCTAGCTTCTTGGGGTCAGTGTAGAGGGGATGTAGCCCAGGGGTAAGCTCCCTCGAAGAGCTACCTGCAGTGGTACAGCTGTTCTTCTGCTTGGAGTTCTGTCGGGACTCTTTCATCCAAGGGAAGATCTGCTTGCTGATGGTGGCTGAAGAGCCAGAAGCATTGGGCCCACCCTTGACCTTCTTGGCAGGCACTCCACCTCCAGGATTGGTGGGCGAAGAAGGTGGCAGGGTTGGTGGTGGAGGAGGGGGCTGTGGTGGCTGCTGCTCTGAGTTCAGACCAGGAGGCTGGCTGCTACCCCCACCCTGGCTGTTCCCAGTGCCAGGCCGCATGCAGCTGCCATTGAGTTCAGCCGCCTTGTGGGCTGGCGCTCGCAGAGGTGCAGAGCTCTGGATGGAGCAGGCAGAACCTGGGTATTCAGTGTCCAGAGAGTTGGCAGCAGTAGGGGGTGGAAAAGGCTGATGGGGGGCACTGTAGCCATATGTGTCAGTGGCTTTGCTGTAGCCATAGCCTCCAAAGAGTCCTGGGTTTTCATAGTAAGCAGCCTTCTGCATCGTGCACTCCGGAAGCTCCAGGGCCTGCTGACCCTGCTCAAATAACATTGACCACCACTGTCTCCTTCACTGCCACCTCCGATGTCTGCCAAGTCCTGAGAGAGCTGGGGCAGCCCCAGGTTCCAGGTGACCTGCAGAGAAGAAAAGTGAGAGGCCCAGCAGCTCTGTCATTGGCAAGACCAACCAATATAGAGGTACTAGTTTAGGCTCTCTGCTTCTCACCCACTTAAAAGTGGGGGATTTGGAATTTTATGAAGTTCAACTTATATGAACCCTTGGAAAAGTAAGAAGGAATTTCTCATAAACATATGAAATGATTCCTTCTCTTTAGCTACGTCTAAGGGAAGGGGCTTTTCTTTCTTTTTCTTTTTTTTCAGATACAACTTTCCTCCTGAAAGAGTATCAATTTAGCATTTGAAACTGCATGGAAAAGCACTTGTGGCCTCATACATTTTAATAGCTGATTCTCCCATTTGACTTTGAGCTTCTTGTAGGCAGGGACTATATATATGGCTAATATCTAGCCCAGTGCCCCACATGTAGTAAGTGCAATAAATGCTTGTTGAATGACTGAATGGATCAATCAACCACAGAGCCATCTCAGGGTTTTGATGGGCAAAAGAAAGCCATATAACAGACAGAGCTCTCAAAAAAAGTATCTCTCCCACCTGGTTTCAAAATCACAGCATCCTTCATGAAGACCCAGATAGTCCACTTTCCGGTGACAGGGTGAAAATCAGCCCAGTTAGCTCTGTGGTCAGCACTGTGAAATCCACTAGGAAATAAAAACCAAGAAGAGGACTTAAAGATTCCCAGACTTATTTTTAGGCTAGAAAATGTTTCTTTTTTTTTCATCTACATTTTTTTTAGACTCTTGGCTTTCTGCTACTTTTAAATGGATACCACTGAAAATGGGTGAAGAGGTTTCGAATTTGAAATGCATGGAGCACAGGTGAATAGTACATGCTTTATATTATTACTATCATTTTTATCCTGCATCTATTGTATAGATATTATTATAGACCTCTGCTCTGGATCATCCATTCTACCACCACCACCCAACTCACAACCAGTGAGAGAGCCTCTTTTGGCATGATGAATGGACCCAGAATTAGAAGAGGGGGAAAACTAAGAAAAATTCTACCCCTTTTGTGTCTTCTGACTCTTGATGGGGGTTTCCCTTCTCACCCATCCACCCCTTCTCCTGAAAGGCTCCTAAGGAGTTAAAGTATAACTAATACCATTCAACCACTTTTGTCTGCTCCATAAAGGAAACTCATAGGTCAGCTCCCTGGTCTCTTCTTTCAGGCAACTTTCCTACCCCACAACTCCCTGGCTTACATCATGGTCACCATGATGGACCATATTATCTATGTATCTAGACAACTTATGTGGCCTACTTACTAGTACCAAAATTGCTCCACTGGTCATTCATCTCCCCTCCACTTTCACCAAAAGCTAGCCTGATTTTTAAAAAAATATTCATACCCTTCATTTGGTAGTATTATTGCCCATTTTTGTTTTAAAATATAAGTGAATATACCATTTATCTTGATAAAAGACAGGCCCTTCTCAATGGGATAATAGAATACTAGGATGTTCTGTCTTAGGAATTATTTCTATTATTTTTATTAAATGTATGCAATTAGGATATCTATCCAACAAAGATGGCCTTAATCTTTCTTTCAGTTCATTTTCTATATCATCCTCTGACTCTTAAAGTTACTGAATACCAAGTAGACAGCTACCTCCTCATCCTGTGACTAGTATTTACATGTGTATACGCCCAGGCAAAAGTGCCAGGTACTCTGGGTTTCCTTAAGTTTTGGTACTTTCCTGGGATCCTGCTTCCAGTCTTAAACTTTGGGCCCTCTGGATGTCAAAATGGTCACATTTGACACTGAGACCACCAGAATCACTGCTGCTTCTGTCCTTCCTCTTACAACTGTGGAAGCAAAACATCCCCCTCTTGCCTCCTACGTTGACCAAGTTTATCTTGCTAGGTGGACCAGTCGTACTAAACCGCTTCTTTAAGAACTGACCAGGTCTTTGAAACAGATGGCTTTATATATATACTCTTATGGCATATTCCTAGAAAACACTCTGTGTACAGACGTCAAAAGTGCAAATACTGGGCAGCTTCATGAGTAACCACAGAGTCTGTTCTCTGTTTTCATTGTATTAAGGAATTTCAAGGCCCACACAATGATGATTGGCCACCCTAAGGTCCATTTCCCCCAGAAGCTAGGGCAGTAGGCTTCTCATAAATGGGAAGGACTTACCCCTCCCACCACCACCACCAAAAAGTATGTAGTGCCCTCCTAAAACAGAACCTGAGAATATTGTTACAAAACTGTTAAAAAAAAAAAAAAAAGCTTATTTCTTTCCAGAAATCCCTGCTCCTTGTGAACTCTGCTTGAACCTAAAAAGCAGGAATGGGTCATAAATCACTTGGACAATGGTCAACTGTTCAGTGGCTCATCTTTTCGATCACCCCCCCCCCTTTTTTTTTTTTCTTTAAGGCTTTCTTTTCTCGCCCTTTGGTATCTCTGCTCATTTGGGCTCCGGGACCCAAATGCCTTGGGGTGAAGACAAGCCCTGTAGGGGGAGGGGCAGTCTTCCAAGTCCTCAGCTGCCCTTTCCTCTCACTCCTCCTCCCCTTCAGCCCCAGGACCAGGGAACCAGGCCGGACAGCCTCCCCAGAACCCTGCCTGTGCCATCCTCGGCCCCTCCGGGGAAAGGAGCGCCAAATGGGGGTCTGGCTTGTCCTTTCTCGAGATCCCAGGGAATTGCCCAACTTAGTCCAGAGGCCCAACCACAGGCGGGGCTCCCGGGTCCCCAGCGGGAAGGACAGCAGCCTCTGAGCGCCCACCACCGCTCCCCAGGCCGGGCTGCTTTGTCCCTCCGCACCCACCGCGCCTCCGAAACAGCTGAATCCAGATACTTGCTCACTGCACTTAATTCTGCCCGAGATCAATACCTAATATGATACCGAATAAATAAAAGGCGCTCACAGCGGCCAGGGGACGGGGTTATTAAGCAGCTGGAGCTCTCACGGTGCATATCAATGCACCTGTCATTGTGGTTTGTAACAAAATTTATGACTGCGAGCGCGGCGGCAGTAAACGCTTCAGTAAGGAAAGAAAAGAAAAACACTTCCCCAGGCCCGGCACTTTTCAGAAGTGGAAAACAGTCTCCGCGTAGGAGGAAGCGCAGCAAAAGAATGCCCTACTCCGCACTTTTCCCGGGCCCGCGCCCCGGAGCAGGGCGATTATATAAAGTGGCCGGTGCCGCCTCTTGGAGCAGCTCTGCCGGGCGGCCAGACGCGGGCGGGGAAGCGCGCAGCCTCTCCGGGGCCGAAGACCAGCTGCCCGCCGCGGCCCGGGGACGCCAGGAGCCTCGCGGACCGGACCGCGCGGAGGCCGGCCGGGCGCTGGCGGGCCCACGGCGGCCCAGGAAAGGCCGAGGGGCTTGGGAAGGGAGGGGGCGGCCATCTCTGGGCTGTGGCTAGCGCTCAGTGGTCGTAAATCACGGATGGGTAGAGTGGGTCCGTGAAGTTGAAAGAGAAGGGGGAGGTGATGGTGTGCTGGTTGCTTTTGTTAGTCTCAATTTTTTCTAGGTTCGAGTTGCGTCTCCTCTCCCTGTTTTGCCTAAACCAGGGCCTCGGGAGCCCACAGATCTCGTTCTGGCAGACACGATTCTTGCTGGGTATCCCCGTAATTCACTGGAACTGAGCGATGATTCTTCCTTCCTGTGGGCCTTGCTACTTCGGGATTTTGTAGCTACTCCTTTTCAGGTTTGCTGGGGAGGGGATATATTTACCACAAAGCTTTCTGCCCAAGTTCTCCTGATCTCTCAGCCCGAGCCTCTTCTGACCTATGGGGAGCCCTGGATGGACCTTCTAAATCACTCTTATTTAGCCCAGATAACTTGGTATGTAATACACCCTGCATTTAAGGCACTGGGCTCACCCCATTAAAGCGCCATAAATATGAAGGCCGATGATCGGTTATCATGTAACCGGCTGCAGTTCACACTGAGGTGATCCACTTCAAAGCCACCCTTTTGTTTTGTCTTGATGTATGAATCCTGAGATGGCTACTTTGAGTTGCCGGACAGATGGAAATGTAGTGGAAATTATTTTTTTAAGTCATGCCACTCACCACAATTGTGTATATGAGTGTGTGTGTGTGTGTGTGTTCTCAAATTTTGTCTCTAACTCTTTCTGTAGTCTCTTCGGGTTTCTTTTGATAGTCTGTTCAGGTGGATCTGGAACAAAATGGAAAACTCTCAGTGGCCGTTGATTCTTACAAACACCTACATGTCCAGAGGCTTTACCCCCCTTAAGGGTGTCATAATCAATGTGACTATTGTAAAAGGTGCCTGCAGCCATTCCAGGTGCCTTCTATCAGGCAGAAAAGAAACTCGGTTGGCTCCTGGCGAGCGAGTAGCCTTTAACACGGAAATCTTTGGCTGGATGGAAGAAGGGGGATTTGGGCCTGAGGGAAGGACCACACCCTTGGGCAGGGGGTGTACCAAGTGGGTCAGAGGTGCAGGGAAACCAGTCCCTCTCCTCCTGCTCCAACCAAGCTCCAAATGCTCCAGGTTTCCCAATCCCCCCGGCCAAGCCCGCCTTCTAAGAGCAAGAGAGGGGGACTGTACAGAACTGGAGTGGAAGGGAGGCTACTACAACAGACACAGCACCAGAAAAGGACGGTGAATATGTAGATGGGCCTGGGTGAGTCCCAGTCAACAGCTGCCACAGCAGCTCCAGTGAAGAGGGTACTGGACACTGTTTCTCCGTTTATACGTTGATGCTTTCCCCGAGTTTATTTTATTCCAGTAAGTACCAACCACCCTTCTGGTCTGGGCTGCAAACCGACTAAGAAACAAACACCCCTTCCACCCTCACCCCAAAACAGACGGTGCAGCACACCCACGGCCAGGCATTCAGCAAGTACCTGCCCCCGTCAGGTGAAAGTAGAGACAATCCCCCCTCTTGCATCTGCCCTGTGCAATTTGTCGACTCACTAGTTTGCAAACACTAAACCGCGCTGGGAAAGCCCCACACAAAGCATTCCGGGCCCTTCTAAAGACCAGAGCGCAAAGCCATAAGCCTTTGAAGTGACCTTTGGCTCACGCGGTAATAACTCACCCTTAATGAACACCCAACGGAAGCGCCTCGAAGAAATCCCGGCCCGGTAGAGATCCTAACATCACGCCTGGACTTCAGCTTCCCAGCCGGCTGGGATCCAGGGGGTCCTCTCCGCTGGGCTGGCCAGAGGGCTACACGATGGAGGCGCAATGCACTCGGGCCCACCGACCCGACCGGACCAGAGAATCCCAAAGCTGCTTTATAGGATACATTCACGTGGGCAGACGTCAACTTTTGCTGCTTGATTGTTTTTTGTTTTTTATTGTTTTTTTAAAAAAGGTTCTTTAAAAGTAGGAGGGCTAAATTGGGAGGCCACCCCGGCCACGATCTCCGGATGCAGGTAGCTAGATTTTGTTTCCCAGCCACGGAGGAACAGGGTAAGTTTGCTCCTGGGCGTTCAGGGGTGCGCTTTGCTCTCTGGGTGCAAGAGGCTTGAGGAAAGTAAAGAGGACCCTAAGGCAGCCAAAGGTGGGCAGCCCAGAGCCCCCACCGCCTTCTCCTGCGCTCTCTCCCCAAACCACCCACCATTCAGCACCAGCGGACTTCAGACCCTGCTTGTCCAGAATTGCAGGCTTAACACGGCTGGCTCTGGGCCACCAGCTCAAGTACCCTTTCCACAG